TAGAAGTGGGATCGGGCTCTGAATCACTCATCAATGTACATTGATCTCCCATCCTTAACTTTGTAATACTGGGTCACTAGCTAATCACCCGAGAGGTTTCATACCATTATAAAAAAATCACAGATACGGATACTGTAATGCAGATTGTTCTGCTTTGCGCTTTTCCTTTCATTATTGCATTTGTTAAAAATTCATTGATTTTCCTTTTATTTCGTGCCTTCTTTTCACAAATCTTATTCCCTGATTTTCTGCTGTGATTTAAATAAATATTTCTATTAATTACACCTGCAAGTGGCCTAGTATCATTTCTGGTTATGCCTTCCTACCCATTGGGGTAACAGGAACCTCATTTTCATAGGCCAAATTACTTATCACCTTCTCTTTGACACATTCCAGGTTCTCAATGTCTTTCTTAAGTGTGTAACATGGTATGCCAGGTGAGTTCTGTTGGAGTTTTGTTTGCAACCTCACATGCTATCTCTAGTTACTATGACTGGGAGGAATTTTTGGGGGGCTGAGGTGATAGTATATCTGTCCAGCACTAACCAGTTGTTCCTTGCAGCCTTTGAATTCAAAGAGACTCCCCATCTCTCCACTGAGTGTTTTATTCCCCTCTCTTTCCTTGGTTTGTGTCAGTTATTTTGTTTGCTGTTGATCTGTTTGGTTGGTTGCTAATTATGTGTGCAGTAAAGAAAGCAATATGCACACGTTTGTAATTTCAAGCAACTATAAGTACAGAAATATTTTTATTCTTTCTCCTACAGATGTCACAGAATGACTTATTGAGACTTCAAGTACTAGTTAATGAGAAGGCGGTGGACTCTGGTGAACTTGTAGCTATTCTCTTTGGTGAGCCTCTATATTTGTACTGCATAGCAAAAAGGGATTTTACCAGAAGTTCCAAACTCTACAACACTTCCTACATCAGGAATGGAGGTCCAGTTCTCCATTTGTTTAAATCAATGTGAATCCTGCTTCTTGTCATCCACAAATAATAATACCCTTATCTAATCCAAATTTTATCAAGTAGGTCAAAAGAATTTTGTGGAGATCTTGTCAGAATCTGAAATGAAGATGCACTACATTCATATCATTCCCTTTATCCACAAATACTTTGATTCTGCCAGAGAGAGATAAAGATTGATTTGGGCACACTCATACTGGGCCTTAATAATGACAACATTCTTTCTAATGTGGTCACAGAAAATATTGGCATGGTGATATTCATATTTGGGTTGCTGTTGCATTGTTTAGTTATTATTTTATTGATTGCCTAGGAGCTTTATGATTGTAAGTTGCTGGAGGAACATATACCAGTTGTGTGGAATATAAATTAAGTTCAGAAACAAATATATGCTGAGGGGCTAGCCAAGGTATTCCATTACAGCAAATGCATCAAAGATTCTTGTGGTACCTTTATGTACCTGCACCCCATGTAAAGTTATATGAAATTTTAAAAAATTGTCAGTTTTTTGAGGTGTCACACAAATGATATTTTTAAAAGACACAAAGGGCAATGTGTGTGTGAGGAAGAAGGAGAAATCAGTGCTTCCCAGTATAGCTGGTGGTGGGGATTTCTTGGAGCTATACCCCCAGACGGTTGCACTTTGCTCATGCCTAAAAAAAATACATACACACAGTGTAGAGACACATAGATACAAAAGCATGTATCTTTGATTGATGTATGAAACATACCGTATGCATACTGCAGAAGTGGTGTTCTTTCAAGAAAGAATTATGATTCTTAGTGCAGAACAGAGGGCACCCAAAATATACATCTTAACATGGCGAGGAAGTTACTCTAGTCTTGATGTGTTGTGCTTAGGCCAGTGTGGCCAGCACTTTATAAAGACACCCCACATCTCACCTGCTTTTCCCTTTTCTTCCCCACTGAAGCAGGGTGTTATGTCTTTTTGTTGAGACGAAACTTAATTGTAAACAGCTTGTGCCAAGAAGCCTTTGAAAAATGTTCCCTCATTAGTTGCTTAACCTTCCTGAATAATAGATGCCTCAAAATTTATAAAAGCACCATTTGTCAGTTCTGTGGCACGTCATAAACAGGTGAACTAGTGTAAGCAGAGCTCAGTCACCTTTTGAGCATGAGAAGATCTGCCCTCTTCTCTGAGGTAAATTGTGATGAAGAACGGAAGCGAAGGGCTGTTGTGCTATGGATGATTGGGAAGGTCTCTGTAAAAGGATTGCCGTTCCTTTGGCTGTATTTGTAATGGAGCAATGAAAACTTCAAAAGAGGCTCCGTGTGTTGTTTATCTGAGGCATCAAACCATTGTTCTTGAATTATTTAGGAAGATACTCCATTTGAGGGCCCAGCTAGATGCAACATCCTCTCCTGCTCAGTTCTCTCTTTGATTTTAAGATGTTGATCTGCAGCCATCACTGAGGAAAAAGTCTGGTCCAGATTGCAGTGCTGGGGTGAGGGAAACGGTGACAGGTTTGTACAGATTTTTATCTGCTTCACAGAGGAAAAAAACGAGAGCTCCCCACACACACGCGCAAAGCTTTGCCTTTCTCATATTAAAACAAACACGTGCTTGCCATGAGTGTGAAAGAAACTTTGTATAAGACTAAGCACTGCAGAGGAAACCATTTATTTCAAAATAAATGGAATTTTAGCCTTTAATGTCTGAGATAAATATCCAGTTTGGTCCCTGAAGGGGAAGTAAATAAGTACTAAAATGTTTCCAAAGTTGAATAAAGGAAAAAAAATGAACACCAATTGACTACACCTACACACACACAAATGCACAGAACCACTCCCTCTGTAGAGGCTGAAGTGAATTTTCTGATTCCCAACAGCTAGACAGTGTGCGTGCAGATGGATGTCGGAAAATTCGCTGTATCGTTTTTCTTTCAGGAGCCAATCTTTATCCAAAACAAAATAAAGTGAACTCATTTTGTGAGTCATCGAATCATAGAATAATTGGAAGGAGCCTATAAAGAGCCTAAAAGAGAAATTTTCATCAAATCGGATCTGACAGACGGTTGTCCCTTGCTCTCTTGAATGCCTCCAGCATTGGAGCACTCACTACTTCTGAGGTAATTGGTTCCACTGTCATACTGCTCTAACAGTTAAGAAGTGTTTTCCTGATATTCAGCTGAAATCTGGCTTCCTGTAACTTGACCCCATTATTACATGTCCTGCACTCTGGGATGATCAAGAACAGATCCTGCCTCTTCCCTGTTTGACTATCTTTCAAGTATTCGAAAAGCGTTATCATATCTTCCCTCAATCTTCTTTTCTCAAGGCTGAACTTGCCTAGTTCTTTAAGAACCTAGAACAAACACCCATGAATTTTAAAACAGAGAATGTTTTCGTTTGGCCCATGTCTGGCCCATGTTTAATCAAGATAATCACCATTCCATGAATTTTAAGAGAGAATGTTTTTGTTTGGCCCATGTTTAATCAAGATAATCACCATTGTGAGCAATTGTGGTTATGTTAGCAGCATACAGCCAACAAGTAAAGCGTTTATGGCTAAAGATTAAGAGAAGTCACAAGAGCTACCTTCCGCATATACCGTACAAGTGTGCCTCCATAGAACCCAGAGAGTAGTAGAGTAGTATGATAATGTAGATGCTGTAGTCCGTTGCAGACCAAAAGCGAACAAAGAACTACTACCTTGAAGAAGTGTAGTGTGACCTAAAGACAAAGTGATCAGTGAGTAGTTGCCTACCAACGTCAGGAATAGAAAGGATACCTCCCTCCGACCTTTAAATACAGCATTTGTTTAACACTGATGGCAATGCCCACAAGGAGAATGTAAAACAATACAGGCAGTTGGCTTCACTTATAACAAATTCATTCTAGAAATTTTCATCTCCAACTGGAGTGGGACTTTTTTAAAAAAGCAAACAGATGTGAATTGTTCAAGACAAACCTGCCTCCCATCTGCTTTCCATTACAAGAGGAAGAGGTCACTGGGCACAGCTTCAAAAGAGACGTATGGGCAAAACCACATTGAAGGCAGCCAGGAGAGTTAATGATCAAGGACTCTGAAATAGAGTGGAAGACTAGAATAGATAGCTCTCAGCTAGGTGTATCTGTGGTCTGACATAGTGGCTGAAACCCTGTTGCAGAACTTTATGCCGCAGAAGGCTGATGAAATCATCAGCTGCAACAGGTTTGTAGATTTAAAAATTCCAATTTCCCCACCCAAAGGTTTCAAGGATCCTTTAGGATCCATTCCCTTCATTGATAGGATGCCATTGGGGCCCATAGGAGAGAGAGATCTTTAAGTTCAGAAAAATCATTGGGGTGGTTACATCACCAGCTTTACACAGCATAAAGTTGCACAACAGGATTTATGGTAACTTCTACTGTTCTTTAGCTTCAGACTTTTGTGTCTGCCAGTTGGAGCAGCACTATTAGCACTAAACTGGTTAACGTCACTAAAGCATATTAAACAATAAAACTATTAAACTTATTTTAGGCATCAATGGAAAAAAATACAAACGCACAGCCACGTTAACATGGATCTCCCAAGTCTCAAAAATACAGAAGGATCTGGCTGGAAAAAGATCTCCAGAATACAAAGGAACATGGCACTAAAAGTTTGACAACAACAACAAAAGCTTTTGCATGTTTATTGGATTCCACAGAAGTTCTTTGATCCACATTTTCTAAATAACTGGGATGTAAGGGCTCTTTGACTACATCCTGCAGTTGGCCATAGCATTTCGGCTGGCCCTGAAGACCAACTCGCCAAGTTGTTGGAATTAATGCTGGCTTCTCTCATAAAACCCAGTTGTTGCTGTTATTGCATTATATTATACTGATGTTAGCAAGTGGCTGCGGACCCTTCGCCCCACCCGAGGCCTGTCCTTTGCAGCTTCTCAGTTGTTACTCCCTGCCTAAAAGTAGTGAGTCAAAAGTTTTTATCTGATTTCCTCCACACCCATCTCTCGCTCACATTCATAAGGCTTGGAACAATAACAGGATGCCGGGATGCAGGATGGGAAAAGGGCAGACTCCCAGCTGGGAAACCTTGGAGACTGGGAAGCGGAACACTCCCTGTATTGCTTCGTGCAGTGAAATAACAGATTTCATTTGGGGCTGCATATCCCTTTCACTTTATCCAGTTGGTGCCTGGAACGTAGTGGCTGAATTCAACCAACAAAATCTCTCTGATTTGGGATAAAGCCCTGCTAGGTAAGAAATGGGGGACTGTGGGATAGAAGGGTTAATTTGGGTCTCTTTGAAGATTCTTTTTCTTATTACAATGATTCTTGGGTTTTAGCTATATTTTCTTTGTTTACTATATTCTATTGAACTGTCTTTTGCATTTGTCTGATCGTAATGGCTTTCACCTTAGGTTTCCTATTTTTATAATATTGGCCTCAGTTTTTTGTTTTTGGATCCTCGTACTCTATTGCGGTTTTATTTTTTATTATGTGACACCTGAAGAATGTGTTTCACAGGTGATTAATAAGTACAAGCAATAAATAGCAATCCATCTCGCTTACAGGTGCTCTTGGTATCCATCACAGTTCAGTAGACCAAATGTCTCTTTAAGGTACTTTGTAGTCCAGGAATGTGGTTGAAATTTGGCATTACTGATGCTGCCCGTTGTTCTCAAATTGTGTGAATGCAAAGAAGAATAGTATCAACCTTTCCAGGATGCTCCCAGGTCATGAAATCTTAGATGTTGAGGAGCGGTTCTAAAATCTCCTCCAGCTTTCCAATCTGCCCTGTCGGCCTTCATTAAGAGAGCATAACAGTTACTACTACAAACAGTGAGAAAGAGCATTATACCCTGTAACATTTTGCTGCAAGTCGCATTTGTTTGGAATTGGGTGGATAAATAGCAATCTCAGTTTTGTTTTTAGCCTCTGCACCTCATTGTTTCCCTAATCAGAATCTCTTTCTGGAAGCTGCTGATTGCACTAACAAAATACATGCACACATGCAAGGACCAATGTGCTTCCTGTCTCTAAGGCAAGAAGCCACTTAAGATATGGGTGAGATTTTGGTTAGGAAAAGAGCCCATGGACACGCAGGTTTCACCTCCCGCAAAAAAAGCCCCTTCTATCCTAAGGCTATCAAATATTTGGCAGTCCAGATTCATATACAACTCGGACTGCCTTAACGCTAAAGGAAATGAAGAACCGTGTGTGCTGCCCTAGACAGAGTAGGATTCGGGAGACAATGGTTCCACCATGGAGCAATCTGTGTGTTCTTGGTGCAAAGCTAACATGGGGAGGAAGGGTTTTGGGAACCAACTTGACCTGCTTGCTGGAAAAGGTGGGAGGCAAATGTAACAACAGGGAGCCACTTCCAGTTTGCCAAAGGAGGCCACAGATTTTGAGAGAAACCTTATTTACAGCCACTTATAAACTGCTTACATCTAAAGATTTCAAAGCTGTGCCCAATAATAGTTAAAATAAAGAGAATAAAAACTAGATAAGATCAAGATATAAGAACATGAGAACAGCCCTGCTGGATCAGGCCAAGGACCCCTCTACTCCAGCTTCCTGTGTCTCACAGGGGCTCCACCAGATACCTCTGGGAGCCCACGAGACAATGAGAGACCTCTCTCCTGATCCCTCTTCCTTGCATCTGGCATTTTGAGGCCCCTTCCTCCTAAGCCTGGAGATTATACATCCCCATCATGGCTTGTCACCTGCGATGGACTTTTTTTCCAGGAATTTGTCCAATCCCCTTTTAAGGCATCTAGGCCAGATGCCATCACTGCATCCTGTGGCAAGGAGTTCCACAGACTAACAACACGCTGGGTAAAGAAATATTTTCTTTTGTCAAAAATAAAATACGATAGGGGAAAGAAGGTGATAATTCTATTGGTAGTGAATTTTCACAGTGATGATCGCATTGTTAACACTGGTACTGAACATTCAAAGTACAGTACTGGCTGAAATCCTGTCACTTAGTATAGCACTAGAGGAGTCCCACTGAGTCATAGTAATTCACATCTAGACTTGATTAGGCATCCTTCAGTCTCGAGAGACTATAATATCGTGCTCTGTATGGAGGACTTGGAACAGTGTCTAGACTAGACCCATTTGAATCAGTAGCATTTATAGGGGACTTGACTCACCAAACCCCCACTTATTCAATGGGCCTACTCTTCCTATAGGAGGCAGCAGGATTTCAGCCACTGATTACATAGCAATCCTGTTAATCAGTGGAGCGATCACCTTGTCAGTCAAATTATATAAATACTAGACTGCTTCCTTTGAAACACAGATGGAGCTGTTTTCAGAAAGTTTGCTGAGGTTAGGTTTATGTCATAGAAAAGAATCCTTTGGAAATGCATGCTGTCCTTTAAATAAAAATGCAATATATCACATCATTTAGGGGTGAAGACTGACCAGGCAACCTGTGGGCCTCCACTGTCCTCTCTTGGCAGATTCTTTGTGTTTAAACTTTGTTATGGACAGTGCAATCCTTTCAGTGGAGGATGCCTCCAAACCGAGGATAACCCTTTGTTCATAAGAGAATCACATGCAAATGTGGGTAGGGTTTGGACTACAACCCCCAGCATCCACAAGAAACATAATAGCCATGCTGCCTGGGGTAAGATAGGATTTGCAGCCCAAAGAAGGCAGCTTTCTCAAACATTGGGTGTAGGGTGACCCTGTGTAATGAGCACGGCCACATGCCAAACTTAACAGCCCCCCCCATGACTTTCATAGGGGTGTTGAAGATGGGATTTCTATGAGGGATGTTTGCCATACCTCCTGAAAGCCTCTCTTTTGCACAGCTATTGAGGGTGCAGAATATTTGCTGTCTTTTGCATGTGACCAGCCTAAGGATAACAGGGAAAATAAAAGCCCAGATCAAGGGGAAACTTTCACTTAAACAGTTAATACTCCTGGAGGAATTTGGCAAGCTTGAATAGCCTTGCTTCATATCCTCCTTTTGTTGAAGCAAAACGAGGTAATTGAAAACAGGATATATGTAAAGGGATTTGTATAGTCTTTTAACCTTTAGAGGCATTTTTGATTGATTACCTTTAGCAAGGTCAATTGTATGAAAGTCAGCTACTATTTAATAGTGTTGGGAGGATACCTCCATTTTCCCTCCATTTCAAACAGCAGAAACCATACTATTTCCGAACATCAAAGGAGAATTCTTCTACCGTTCTTCAAGGACACAGGGAGACAATATTATTAGGAGAAGTTATTGTTTTATCCAAAACAAAAGACCTGACCAGTGAGGGGCCGAAAGGTGGTTTGGAGAATATTATCCTTCAGTCTTCCCCCCACTCAACACCCTTCAGATATGTTGGACTACAACTTTAATCATCCCCAGCCTGACAGGTTTAGAAAAGCTGCTATAGTTAGTTGTGGGTTTTCTCAGCACAAATAACAGATTGGGGAAGTGCATGAGCAGCAATCCAGGGCGAAGGAGAGGCAGGTATGCAACCTTGTGTTCCTTGAAAGAAAAATGTGATGTAAGTATAACTAAAAATAAGAATGAATTCATTAGCCATTCAGTCATTGAGTCACGCTTTTTCCACAGTTGTGGGGCATAATAGCATGGCTATTATAAACCCTACCCATTGGAATCTGGAGACCTTACCTATCATCATCATTACCACAAACACCATGAAAAACATGAGTTCAGGCTCCCAGAGGTCTACTTTTTAATTTCTTTGCTATTTTCTTCAAGCATCCATATTCCTGACTAATGAGGGGAGGGAAATCAATTAAGGCAGGACCTATCCTTAAGAACAAAAACCACTAACTTTGTTTCTTCTGCTTTGCCTCAGAGGTATCAGATTTGTTCATATTACTTTCAGAAGAGAAGTATTTTGGGGTGTTTTTTTTTTAAAAAAATGCTATCCATCCTAGAGTAATAAAAAGTTCAGTCCACAGAAGTCAGTGAGTTGTTGATCAGGATTCGTTTTCACTTTCCCGTCAGTCTCTTTTCTTCAGGAGTTTTGTCAGCAATCTGGAGATGTACACAGTGCAAAGCTGGCAAAGAATAACATTTAATTGGATGCTTAACTTTCAAGTTAATAAGAGCTTAGCCCTTCATTCTCTTTGGAGGCTTGAGAACTCTCTTGAGAAATCAAAATAATCCTAGTAAACAATTCCTATCCAGCAGTGAGTTCCTCAAGCAAGAGAGTACACGGAGAAATGTGTGTGGCGGGCGGGGGGGGGTATCATGAGCTCATGATGACAGGTCCCTCAGCCAAGTATAACAAGCTTGGAAACATGGTGGAAATATATTCAGAGTCTCTGCAATAAAAAAGAGATAAATCAAATGCTCTGTTAGGTCCAAACAAAGCTGTTTACGGTCTTGACGAAAATCTGTCTTGTTTTGTAGTTTCCTTAAATAAACATGGCTTCTTACACTGCAATCCTATATACGCTTACCGAGGCATGGGTCCCACAAAACTCATCAGTAGGATGAACTCTGAGCAGACCTACACAGATCAGTAAGGGACCGCTGAGTCCACCCTGTGTCTCTGTTGGTGGAGCTGAGTCACACAACAGAGTCAAACAATCAGGAAACAATTATAACTTTTATTTTTAAATATATTATGAGGGAATCTGAGGTGAGAAAGTGTGATTAATTCTAAGCCTACTACATCATACTTAATCTAGCCTAATAGCCAGTCTTTGGTTGAGGTGAGAAAGTGTGATTAATTCTAATCCTACACTTAGCCTATTACATCGTACTTAATCTAGCCTAATAGCCAGTCTTTGAGAGGTGAAAAGTAGACATGGGGATGAATATAAAAATGAATCGCGACATTCAGGAAGTCTGATCTAAGGGATTTTCCCCCTCCGTCGCTTTCTTTCCTGTAGGGGATAGGGGATCCCTTCATACATTCAGGAAGTCTGATCTAAGGGATTTCCCCCCCCCCTTCCACCGCTTTCTTTCCTGTAGGGGATAGGGGATCCCTTCAGTTAGGCTTCCCTAGTCGATGCTGTGGGGGTGTAGAAAGTCAGAGGAAGCCTCGCCAAGCAATTCCCCACACACACTTTCTTTGGAAACAGTGGGGGGGGGAATCGTTTTGGTCAGGCTTGCCCAAAGGGAAGACTTCCCCACTGCTCTTTTCAATGGAACGGAAGCTAGGATGCAGAACAGAAACTGCCGGGCCAGCATCCTAGCTTCTGTTTTGGTGGCAATGGTGGCAGAGGAGAAGGTGCCAAGAAGGATTAGGTAAGAGGAAGTGGCGG